CAAATGAGTGGCTCAGGGTCTCACTGTAAAGTATGAACTACGCAGAAGAGCAATCACTGAGCTTCTCAGGGTTGCTGTGCTCTCCCCACACAAATGTTTTTTCTCACCGTAGTGAGCAATGATATGTCTTCTATACTTCCCAGTGTGGGTGAGTAGGTCTCAATTGACAAATACACTCTAACCTTCTAACCTCCCTCAGCCCTTGACCCCTTTCTTTTACACTAAACCAAGACAGGTCGGGTATTTCCAGTCCCTTCACGGTGGGCCACTTTTTGGTCCATGTTTCCAACAACAAAGCAAACACACTGTGAGAGCCCTTTCTTCATCCCTGAGCTGCAACACTCGATGAAGAATCTCCACTTAGTGAGCCCATATCAATAAAGTCAGCCTGACCCAACATGATGATCCTTGCATCATTATCCCACTTGCTTACTATTCATTCCCTCACATGTTCCCTGAATTTCTGCTGATATAATTTAAAACTCAAGTAGTTCTTTTTGGGTTGCATAACTCCTCATGGGTCACACTTTGTATGTCGCCTTTAGGGGCCTAATGGGACCCAAGTCTAGATACAGGTCTAAAGCCAAGAAGAGTGATGCAAGAAAGTCCTGAGGAGACTCAGCATTGTAATGCATGGAAACTGCCTCATGGGAGGCTCTTACCATTTGCTCAGGAAATGCAGGGTTCATAGGCTCAGACACAGGTGAATAAGCCATCCTACTGTGAGCGGGGTGGCTCGCTCTGGGGGTGGGAGGCCAATTCCAATGGGGTTGGGGAAACCTCTCCTACTAGTAAGAAAGATTCATCAGCACTTAAGGGACTGATGTGCCTAGCTTCAGCATGACCTTCCCACTAGTTCCCATTCCAAGTCACAGGATCCCTTCTTCTCCCAGTCAGTGACCCTCATTTTTACACTAGATACCCTGCAGGCCTGGGACTTCACTGTACTGTAATTCAGTCAAGGGTGAGATGGGATTCTCCATTTGATTTTCAGCAATATCAGCCATGTAGCTACAGGAAACAAGGCTCTCTTTCAGGACACAAGTAGAAAATCGTAAGTCATTCATGACTCAGAAGTCAAATGCTTCACTTCATCTTTTTCTTTGGCTACATTGTCCAGGGACATTAGGAGAAACCAAGTGATAAGGGCAACAAAGGCAAGAGAAATGAAGGCAAGTCTACAGGAAATCTCCTAACAGCTTGCAGCCCACTGATAGACACCTGAAACATGCAGAGCGTGACCTTCCTCAAGGAACTCTTGCTGCCTTAGTGCCTTCATATTTTTGTTTTATTAAAGACTAAAGTAAACTGTTAACAGCAGCTGTCCCCTCAAGGTCCTGAAATCCTTGTTTCCAAATCCCTTAGAGACTTACAGAATCCGTAACCCTCACTAACGTAAAGTGTATAGTTCGTCACTCTTCACAGTCTGAGGCAGCTCTTCTGCCCATGGGTCCTGTCCCCATGTTATAAGGAAACCACCTTTTTGCACCAAAAATGTCTCAAGCATTCTTTCCTAGCTGTTTGCTCACAAACCCCACTTCATTATTTCAGAACAACTAATATCGTTACATTCCTTACTTTTCCGAAAATGTTCAAAAGTATCACATACACAGTCAGGTGTCTCCTTGCTTCTTATAAGTCGCTGACGACAAGTATCAAATGCGCAAATTTTGGGTATCTCTATAAACACATCATGGACCCTCGCTGCTCTTTTCACTACTGGAAATCGAGCCATTAGTTTCTCCCAATGGAATCATAGTAGACACTCAATTCCAACAACCAGCAATCAATTCAGAAAACTCATTCTTAAAATTTAGTTCCTCTAGAAACACTCTCAGCACCAAAATCTTCCTTAGTCACCATTCTCCAGAGAACCAGTACCTACAAGGTTGCATAGAGATATATAGAAGAGGATATTTATTATAGGAGCTGGATTATGTGATTATGAGGGTGAGATTCCCAAGGTTTGCTCTCTACAAACTAGACAACAAGACAAGTCCATGGTGTCGTTCAGTCCAAGGATAAAGGCCTGGTTACTGGGGGGCGTCAGTCCCACTCTGAGACCAAATCCAGAGAACCAAAGGCATTGATGTCAGAAGACATGAGGAGGTAGGTGATTGCCACACACTCTGTGCTAGAGCAAAAGGACCCATCTCCTGTAGTAGTCCTATCATATGACGCAATGTGAGAATTACATTTCAAATGATTAGTAATAACCATTTTGACCTCAATCAGCAGGCAATCTGAGCTTAGTTACTAGCCGTTTACAGTACACAGGAAAATGGCAGCTGCCCAGAGTCTGTAGAACGTTTCCCATCCCCACTCATCCTTGTTCCTGTGAAAATCTGAATTTCTTCCTAGTTTCTACTGCTTGAAATAAGAGAAGCTCTGGTCACGCAGACAACTGAAGCATTCCCACAGGTACAGGTGTCGCTGGCACTCTCAGCTCTAACTCCTTGCTTAGCAGCTCAGACAGAACTCCCGGGGGCACGTACTACACCATTCGTCCTGCCTCTTCAGTGTCTTTTCGACTTGCTGCTGCCTCCTGTGTGTCACCAGAGCTTCTTCACAACTTACTGTCATCTGAATCAACTTTAGGGCCATACAACAAGCTGGCCAACAGTTACCTCCAACAGTAATGGTGGGAAAAGCTAAATATTTGTACCAGGTTGAAGTCTGCCCTTTGAAGTGGACTGTAACAATTCAGGAATCATCAAAGCCCAGGTCCCAAATCTGCCCAGGTATCTGATGGCAGGAATCTGATGTTTGCCATTAAGGTGCTCACAGAAAGGCTAAATCCAGAAATCGCTATCTCCAAACCTTTGAGCACTATGAGTGAACTACAAAGAAACACACACACATGCACACACAGACACAAGGGTTAAAAGAAAAAAACGAGTAAAATCTGTTAATGATAGTCTTGCTGATAAGGTTTCTAAAAAAATTTTTAGTGTTTAATTATTTTTGAGACAAAGAAACAGAGCATGAGCAGAAAAGGGGCAGAGAGAGAGGGGGACACAGAATCTGAAGCATTCTCTAAGCTCTGAGCTGTCAGCACGGTGCTCGACAAGGGCCTCGAACTCATGAGCGGTGAGATCATGACCTGAGCCAAAGGCAGACACTTAAGGGACTGAGCCACCCAGGTGCCCCATTGGAAATAAAGATTTTAAAGATAAAAGATACAATAAAACTTTGAGAATTATGACTATTCTCACTCTTAAATAATTTTGAAGAAAAACATTGCATATTCAAGTTGCTTTTTAAGAAGCCAGAAACAGAATGACTGAGAAATTCTCTTGCCTAGGTCAAGGTATTTCCTTAAAAAAAAAACAACAACCAACTAGAAGGAACATATTAGTTTCATAATATATCCTACAATTAGTTCACCAATATATCTTAATTTATTTAGAAAAAGATACTTCATGATTAGTTCACCCTTCCTGTACTTCCCTTCCATATACTACCGACCACCCAAAACTTAGAGGTTATATAAAACTAATAAAAATGGACAACTGCACTAGTTCTCTACATTAACAAGGGTTTATATTCCACTGTTTTCATCAACATAACTTCACTAATCTAGGAACATCCTGTCTAAGAACAGAAAAGTCACAAATAACTTCTCGTTCATTCCAGGAATGACCTAAAAACCCCATTTACCCTTCCATAAAAATGGCCACATGAAATTTTCAACCACAAGAATCTTTGAAGCTTTGGTCTTCAAACTCCTGCTCTGTCGTGTCTTCCAATCCTAATTCATTCGATCACGATTCTTACCCAATCCTAATCACACCCTCCTCCAGTTTGAAAGACCTGCTGTATACCCGACTTCGAAATCTGAGTAAATCTCTCTCCTGCCCTGCCACCTCCAAGACTCTACTAAGGCTCTCTCCAGGTAGTGCTCTCCCTTGATGTGATACAGTCTGCTTTGCATATAAGATGTTGGCTGATATTTCCGAAGTACAGAATTTGAGGAGTATAGTCACCACTGCTGTATGCCATGTGACCGTGGACTGAGCCTAAATCCTGGGCTCAGTATGTATGGATGTTCCTAAAATAGACCTAAGAATGACTGGTTATATAGAGAAATCAGTTATCAATGCAGAGATTTCTATTTTTTAATGTTTCATTTATACATTTTTGAAAAAGAGAGAGCACGCAAGCAAGGAAGGGGCACGGAGAGAGGTAGACACACAGACCCACAAACCATGAGATCATGACCTGAGGCAAATTGGTCGCTCAACGGACAAAGACCCCCAGGTGCCCCACCAGTGCAGAGATTTGAATGTGCACTAGCACCAGAAAAAAATTAAACAGGAGTAACAGATGAACATGGGGAAGGAAAGAGAAAATAAGATAAAAACTGAGAGGGAGGCAAAGCATAAGAGACACTTCAATCAGGGAACAAAAGTGGGGATTGTTAGAAAGGAGGGGGGTGATGGGACGGGCTAAATGGGTGATGGGCATCAATGAGAGAGCACTTGTTCCGAGGATCACTGGGTGTTGTATGTAAGGGGTGAATTACTGGGTTCTACTCCTGGTACCCATACTACACTAGACGTTAACTACCTTGAATTAAAAGAAATAATCAATCTATAGAAAAGAAGATATTAGCTGAACCAAAAAGTAAACACGTGTTAATATATTGATTCTATAAGAATAAGCAAATGGATTCAAGGATGACAGAAAATTAAAGCAAAGGAGGAACTGATTAATCAAAACAGGTATAAAAATAGGATTCAAATACTTAACAGGTATTTCTGTCTCAGCGTTTTTCTGAGCCCTATATTCCTCTAAAGGTACCTGGGGCTGTGTGTCCCTAAAGACTCTGGGTCCAGATGTGGGATGGGTGAGGTCTAAAAGCAGACTCTTCGAGCCCTTTCCTTTTCCTCGGCAGATCGCGTGCCTGGACGCCTCAGCCTCCCAGGCCTGACAATCTCACACTTCCCTGCAGGTGCCCAACCCTGTGCGCATGCCCGTTGCTAGGAAGGCCGGTGGCTGGGCGCGCGCCTTCCGGCCTGCGTTCGGCAGCCGAACTGGGCATGCGCCGTGCTGCCCACCTTCCGTGAGTGGAGCTGAGGCGGTGGTGGTCGTGTTCGCTCTTCTCTAATCCTTCTCGCTACCGGAACTCAGCTGGAGGCCCACGAATTCGTCCTTCCGGGACTGGAAGTGTGAGTGACTCTGAGGATCGTGGCAGTGGGGCTCGGGCGGTTCGGAGCCGTAGGTGTGTGGCCTCCGCGGTGGAAGGTGCTAGGAGATAGCGTTCTTCCCCCAGGCGTCGTGGCCGCCGTGGCCCTGGTCCTCGAGGTAGGACGGGGACGAGTGGGGATGGCGGGGGAGGAGGACGAAGGTGATGCAGACAGGGAGGGTTCTGGGGGCGTCCTTCGAGGTATGTGAGTCCTGGAGACACCCGGACTTGCCGGCAGAGCACTGAAGCCAGAGTCCTCAGGGGGACCCTGGGTGCGAGGCGGTCCAGGCAGTAGAGAACAGGTGTGGAAGGGGCGCCTGGGTGGGCCAGTTGGAAAGGGCCGACGCGCGGTCTCAGCGCAGGTCTGATCTCGGGGTGGTGAGTTCAAGCCCCGCCTGGCCTCGGCGATGGGCGTGACGGGTATTTTAAAAAGGGGGGTGGGCAGGAAACGGGGACCACAGCAGGGTGGGAACTGTGCCCCCGAGATTTGTATCGCACTGTGCCTGGTGTCAAGGGAGGAGCTGCCCAGGGGTCAGTTACGAAACTAGACATGTGAGCCCTAGTTTTGGGAAGACAGCCACCGGCAGTGCGCAAATATGAAGACCTTCTCTGTGTCCCAACCAAACCTTTCCTAAGGGCGTAAAATGGGCCCAGCAAATGGGAATGTGCAAAGCAATAGTGCCTCGGGTTGAAATTTCCAGCACTGTTTTCTCACATGCCTTTATGACGGGGAATCTAGCTGTGGAAGTAAACCTCATGTTTGATCCTGTCCTCAAGGTGATTTGCTTGCCAGTTTGGCTGATGTAAATGATCTTGCAGCTCATTTATTTGGTGCAACCACAGCATGTACAGTATTCTTAATGCAAGGTTGATTTTGAAAGTATTTTCAAAGTAAAAACAAATGAAAACGTTTACCTTGGAAGTGGTATACCTAGCTTTGAGAGTACATTTTCCAAATACTGATATCCTACTTTCAGGGTGAAATATGAGTGCGCGAGTGAGACCAAGATCTAAATCTAAACAAAGAAAGGGTAATCGAGCGGCTAACCAGCCGGCTACAGCTGTGGCTGTGAGTACTTCAGAATTTGATGTTTTCTATACCTTCAGTTTATTTTTCTGAAAGTGTTGTTGAACTACAAACATACAGGTACAGTGATACACGTTTCTCTGCTGATAAGGAGCAGGAAACGTTGAACCAGAAGGCGTCCATCCTTGTGTTGCCTGTGGAAATGTACCCTATGACTCCTCTGCTATGCTTATTAACAACAGGTTGTACATATCTGTCCCAGCACAGTGTAAAATAGCCTCTAAAGTGCTTGTGGGTGCCTCTTCTGGAGTAGCTAGGCTGTGGGAAGAGTAACTTTTTTTAAAATTTAATTTAACTTAGCGTACAGTGCAATATTTGTTTCAAGAGTATACTTCAGTGGGGTGCCTGGGTGGCTTAGTTGGTTAAGTGCCGACTTAAGCTCAGGTCATGATCTCACAGTTTGTGAGTTCAAACCCCGCATCAGGCTCCGTGCTGACAGCTTGGAGCCTGGACCCTGTTTCTGATTCTGTCTCTGTCTCTCTCTTTCTCTCTGCCCCTCCCCTGCTTGTGCTTTCTCTCTCTCTCAAAAATAAAATAAATTAAAAAAAAAAAAAGAGTAGACTTCAGTGACTCATGACTGACATACAACACCCAGTGCTCATCACCAGTGCCCATCACTCATCATTTATGCCATCCTCCACCCACCTAACTCCATCAACCCTCACTTTGTTCTCTACAGTTAAGAGTCTCTTGTGATTTGTTTCCCTCTCTCCTCTTATTTTTCCATCTCTCCCCATGTGTTCCTCTGTTTTATTATTCCATTCCACAGATGAGTGAAGTCATATGGTGATTGTTTTTCTCTCATTGATATCTTTCACTCAGCAGAATACATTCTAAGCCCTGTCCACATCGGTGCAGATGTCAAGATTTTATTCTTTTTCATGACTGACTAATATTCTATTATATGTATACACAACCATATTCATTGTAAGAATAAATGTGTAGAATCATGTGTTATAAGTGTGTACTGGATGTTTATATTGTTGGTATGTATTTACAATGCAATTTTTATTTGGACACACACACACACACACACACACACACTCTAGGTCCAGCAGCCAAGTGATGAGCAACCTCAACAAAAGGAGGCACCCCCTGAGAGTCAGGATATTATTCCTGATAAAGAGAAAGCAGTTGCAGAAGCACCTATGGATCATGGTGAAGGTAAAGGGGGAAAGAATGCTTACTGGAGGCACAGGGAACATATTTGCATCATGCAATTTGACATAACAGGACGAAACAAAACATTGGAAGAGAATCTCAGTCATTTCCTGAAAATTCTTTGAAAATGTGAATAGAGTATACTATGCAGCTCTGTTCACTGTAGTGAATTTCCCCTAGTTCTTCCAATGCAGGCCTTCCTCAATCCGAGGAAACTGTTGACTACTAACGTATACATTTCTTCACTAGTTTAGTGTGTTCTCAGGACATTTTTCTGTGCCCTTTTTCTTCAGTGCATCAAAAGTGTAAGCAGTTTTTAATAGTATGTGCAGAGGGCCAAGTCAGCATATCATATAACATCTGGAATAAGATGATTTGCATAAGGTGGTAGCCTTGTTTTATAAATAAGAAAACTAAGGTTCAGGGATTGTGACTTGCTAAAGACTGCTTGTCACATGGAGACATAATTAAATTTCATTTCATGTTTTTTTTTATTGCTTCCTACCATCTGTGTTTTTATAACAAAATGTGAATGGTTTGTACAAAATGCATAATACTAAAAAACGTATACTGTAAAATGAGCTAAGTACAGCCACAGGATAATTGAGGTTCAGTGGAGCAGGAGATAGACTCCAGAAAAAGGCTCAAGGAATGATAGCCACTGTTTCCTTTGCTGAATCATTTGATATGGTGTATTTGGGAAATGTTGGAGAATTCAGGAAACTGGCATATTGGTAAACTATATTAGTGTGGTTTGTAAGCGGCTGTATGGGGTGTTTAAATACTTTTCAGATTAGGAAAATCAAAAGAATCTTAAAGTGATCATGAAATGGAAATTAACAGCTTCCAATGCAGCATTTTCCTCAAATACTTGTAGTGAACTTTTGGCGTGATTCAGGCCATGGATTATTTTAGGGATTTGCTGGGAAGAGGTTTCTACAGTAGGATTGATGACAAAGTCTCTTGCTTTCTTTCCACTATACTCCCTTTATTCTCACTGTTAAGATTGAAGTTTGACTATGATTCACTCATGTTTTGCTGTTATTTTTGTTTTTTTTCATAATTCAACTATTTAATGTTATCACAAACAAAATTGTTAACTTTATTTTATTTTTTTTTGTTTTGCAGTTATTTTTGATATCTTGTCATCTACATGACTCATTTATCCTAAGTTATAGAGACAGACTTGGCAACGATAACTAACTGGTTAATTTTCACAAAAGAACTTTCAGGTTGCCACAATAGGGAATGGATCTCATTAGTCTCGCATTTGTCCTAGGCCCACAAATGCACTCACTTAATATTTCAAGAAATTAAATTTTCATTTTCATTAAAATCCTATCCAACGTGCAGGCCCTCGGTGGCTCAGGCACTTAAGTGTCTGACCTTGGATTTGGGCTCAGGTTTGGATTTTGGCTCACAGTTTGTGATTGAGCTACATGTTGGACTCTGCACTGGCAATGCAGAGGTGCTTGTGATTCTCTCTCTCTCTCTCTCTCCCCCGCCCCATCCATCTCTCTCCCCCTTCCCTTCTATCTCCCCTCCTCCCTCCCTCCCTGCCCCTCCGCTGTTGGGTCACTGTTTATCTGACTCTCAAAGTAAATTAATAAAGTTTAAAAAAGCTTGTCCATGGTGTTAATTTAAGGATTCTTAGCTGATACTCTCACCTCTCAGTACACTGTGGTAATATAATGCAAATGTAGATTTAGTGTCGTTTCTTTTTAGATTATTATTTGAAATAAGGTTTCATAATAGAGAAAAACAAAGATGTGAAGTCTTCTTTCCATCATCACTTTTTTAATTACATGAAGTCTACAAGCTTGTATTTCATATAATGGAAACAATAAATATTATCATCTCGTTTTTATATTTTATGTTCACCCCTTCAAGTGATAATCTTTGTCTTTGAAGCACCTGACCTGGAAGCTGGTATCCAAAAATTGCCTCTGCCAAAGACTGAAGATATTACTGAAGATGACACTGATGTGAAGGGGGCAGATTTCCCAACTGTGGAGCCCGTGAAAATGCCTGAAGCAGGTATTTTATCCTTTGGGAATGTGAAGTTTGTTGTTCTTTTCCTGAATTTTATAGTTTTCATTTTTTAGATGTATCTTTACCGATAGATACTTTAATAACAGACTTTACACAGAAAGGTACTTTCACAAGTAGTTCAGACCCTAACTTCCTGACTGCCTGACTCACACCCTATGAGATACACAATTAAATTTGGTCAAAGCCTTATTAAATTATAAAATACGAAAGCATTTCCTTTTTGATAAAGTGTAAATACTGGGGCAACAGATGGCTCAGTCAGTGAAGCATGTGACTCTTGATTTGGCTCAAGTCATGATCTCACAGTTTGTGAGATGGAGCCCCATTTTCGACCCTGTACTGACAGCATGGAGCCTGCTTGGGACTCTCTCTCTTCCTCTCTCTCTGTCCCTCTCTCATTTGTACTCTCTGTCTCTCTCTCTCTGTCTCTCTCTCTCTCAAAATACGTGAATAAACTTAAATAGAATAAACTGTAAATACTGTAACCGATAGCTGATTAAATTCAGAATCTTCTCTAATTTCCTCTTTTAAGAAACACAGAATGCATTTGGAATAAATACCAGCTGTATGAAATATGCTGATGCATTGAAGTACCATCCAATACGAGCTCTAACATAAGTTGTGTGACTCTGGGAAAATCCCTTCACTTCTGAACCCATCTTGATGCATATATCTCGTGATTTCAAATCGGATATATTGCATTTATTTTTTTATTGCTGTTTTTTGTATTTTGTGGTTCTGTTGGATAACATACATGGAATACAAAAATCATCCATTTTGTTTGCTTTATTTATCATCAGATAGCATCTTTGATCAAATTTGAACATCTGAATTGAGATTTCCGTGCCGCTGAGAACAAGAAAACACACTGTTTGATGTGGGTTTTTCTCTATGGAGCCCCGGATACCTGTTCTTAAATTTTGTCAAATTCGGGGCGCATGGGTGACTTAGTCGGTTAAGCGTCTGACTTTCGCTTAGGTCATGATCTCACAGTTCGTGGGATCGAGCCCCGTGTCGGGCTATGTGCTGACTGCCAGCTCAGAGCCTGGAGCCTGTTTCAGTCTGTGACTCCCTCTCTCTCTGACTCTCCCCTGCTCACCCTGTCTCTCTCTCTCTCTCTCTCCCCTAGAAATAATAAATAAAAAACATTAAAAAAATTTGTCAAATTCTACATTACTGTGCCTCTTACAGAACATGTGCAGTTTGAAACCTTTCCCCAATGAAGGCTCAAATGACTGAGTAATAAAATGGCAAGAGATGCTTTAGTTTCTAGTTTCTGTGGCACATCAAGTAGGGAGAGTGCATGGGTGTTCTATGTAAGTGATGAATCCCTAGATTCGACTCCTGAAACCAGTACTACTGGTTACATGTTAAGTCACTCGAATCTAAATTTAAAAGTAAAACATAAAACTACCTTTTGATTGGTTCAATTCCTTTTATCTATTCTGACCTGAAGTGTCTTTTTCACTTCTTGTATCAATAGAAAGTGTGGAGTGTTCAAAAAATGTTGGTAAAGTATATGCTTGGAATTCTATCTTATAAAATGGAAACGATGGTGTCCTGTGTATATCATTAATTTAATCTAAATAAAATTCTGCTGAGTAATGTTTCCAACTCTATGTCTATCTTACAGGTGAAGGACAATGGAAGGTTTAAGCAAGAAGAAGCCGAAAGCAGCTAAAGTGCTCTCCTATAGGAAGGATACTTCAGCATTAAAAATCTCTCAATAAGGGGCGCCTGGGTGGCTTAGTCGGTTGAGCGTCCGACTTTCGCTTGGGTCATGATCTCGCGGTTCGTGGGTTCGAGCCCCGCGTCGGGCTCTGTGCTGACTGCCGGCTCAGAGCCTGGAGCCTGTTTCAGAGTCTGTCACTCCCTCTCTCTCTGACCCTCCCCTGCTCACGCTATCTCTCTCTCTCTCCTAGAAATAAATAAAAAAAATTAAAAAAAAAAAAAAAAAAAATCTCTCAATAAAATCTTACAACTTTCTCCACAGACTCTTTCAGTCCCTTGTTAGACTTACTCTGAGTACTAGGTGCTGTTAACAATTGTGTCGTTTTTTGAAATTTTATATTCTGATTCAGATGGTAAGTGCAGATAGATGTGTACATCGACACTCTCTCCAGCAGCCTTGCTGCATACGATTGAATGCCAGAGGTGTACATCAGCATCCATTATGAGTTTCAACACACGCAATTCTATCATCTTTGAATACTAACAGTTTGTTACTGCTCTTTTAATCATTATCTCCCCTCTTTGTTTTCTCACTTTACAATATTGGACAGACCCACCCAGCACAGTGCTGGAAAGAACTGAAAATAGACATCCTTCTCTTATTCCTGATGGGAGTTAGACAATTTTGAACATTTGACTATATTTACTGTGACATTAAGGAAGTTCTTTTCTCAGTTTAGTGTACTACACTATTTATGTTGAATATATGTTGCCTTTCATCAAACACGTGTAGTACATTGATTCAGACAATCATAGGACTTTTCTTCCATTAATCCGTTAATGCAATGAATTTCATACATACTTTCCTATGTTTAAATCAACCAGACACTACTGACAGGGAATGTTCATGATACAGTATCTTTTTGAATAATCTATATCATATTAGTTGGGTTATAATTTTTATTACTATCTTCATGAGTGACATTAGTGTCTACATTTAGTTCATATACTCTCTTGGATTTTAGTATCAAGGATATACTGCCTTCATAGAACGAACTGGTATGTAAAACCTCTTTTTCTATTCTCTGGAACTGAAGACTCTGAAAGGCTGTGAGTGACGTAGGACTAGTCTTTCCCATGTTCAGCTGTTTCTGGATTGCACCTCTTTCTTGGGAACTGGACCCTGCAGAAATGGCAGGGAACCTCCAGGTCCCCATCATTTCAAATTGGGTGAGGTGCCCAGCTTCCCTGCAAGTAGCCTCTAATAGTGCCATCACTCTGACAGCTACCTGCTGCAGTTTCTATGGTGTCATTCATCTTCTGTGCCCAGAAAGTTAAAAGTCACGGCTCTGTTAACTAGATACTTTGATCTGTGCTCTATCATTGTGAATAGCTGGCCGTCCACTAGGTGTGTGCACTTAGGACACTACATCCATTTATTCAGTTTTTAGAGAATAAAGTAATATAAAAACTCCTCTATTGATAGCATGTGCACTATATGTTAGCAATTGCTTTCTCCAGGGTTCCTTACATTTATAACTTCATTTAATCTTCCCAAAAAGGGGTGTCAGAGTGTACCCAAACTTACGTTTGACTCTGATAAGCAGTAGATTTCGGGATTCAGTTCTAAGTTAGAGCCCTTACTCTTCCTCAAGTTAAATACATCTGAAAATGTGGGCCAGGAAACCTGATGGTGTCCATGATGCCCTGGGCCAGGCTCTGTGTTGACAGCTCAGAGCCTGGAGCCTGCTTCTGATTCTGTGTCTCCCTCTCTCCACCCCGCCTCTCCTCCTGCATTCTCTCCCAAAAATAAATAAATGTTAGGGGCGCCCGACTGGCTCAGTTGGTTAAGGGGCCGACTTCAGCTCAGGACATGATCTCACGGTTCGTGAGTTCAAACTCTGCAATCGAGCTCTGTTCTGACAGCTCAGATCCTGGAACCTAATTCTGCTTCTGTGTCTCCCTCTCACTCTGCACCTCCCCTGCTCCTGCTCTGTCTCTGTCTTTCAAAATTAAATAAAGGTTTAAAAATATTTAGGTAAATAAATGTTTAAAAATAAACTTTTTAATAAAAAATTAAATATAAAAATAAATAACTCTAAAGCTAATTGGAACAATTTATACAAAGAATGACGTATCAGTCCCATGGTAACAAAAAACCTTAGCTCTCCTGCAAACCTTCTTTTTTCAAACGTTATTTAAAGGCATAGATGGTAGCCATTCTTATAGGTGTGAGTTGATGTCTCACTGTAGTTTTGTATTACCCTAATGACAAGTGATGTTGAGCATCTTTTCATGTGTCTGTTGTCAATTTGGAGGTCTTCTTTACAAAAATGTCCATTTATTTCTTCTGCTCATGTTTCAAATTGGGTTATTTGGGGGGGTTGGGTGTTGAGTTTATAAATTCTTTCTCTGTTTTGGATACTGACTCGTTATCAGATAAGCCATTTAAAAATATATTCTCCCATTCTGTAGGTTGCCTTTTCGCTTTGTTCATGGTTTCCTTCCCTGTGCAGAAGGTTTTTATTTTGATAAAGTCCCAGTAGTTTAGTTTTGCTTTTGTTTCCCTTGCCTCAGGAGACATATCAAGAAAGAAGTTACTAAGGCAGATGTCAAGAGGTTAATGCCTGTGTTCTCCTCTAGGATTTTGATGGTTTTGGGTCTCACGTTTAGGCCATGGATCCATTTTGAATTTGGTTTTATTTTTTCATTTATTTGAAACAAGCTAGATAACATAAAGTATAGTCTTGGCTTCAGGAGTAGAACTCAGTGATTCATCTCTCCCATTGATGCCCAGTGCTCACCCTGAGAAGTGTCCTCCTTAATGCCCATCACCCATTTACCCCATCCTCCCTCCCTCCCTCCCTTCCTCCCCCTCCAGCAGCCCTGATTGTTCTCTGTATTTCAGAGACTCTTATGGTTTGTCTTCCTTTTGGTTTTTATCTTATTTTTGTGTATGGTGTAAGAAAGTAGTCCCGTTTCATTTTTCTGCAGGCTGTTGTCAAGCTTTCCTGGCACCATTTATTGAAGAGACTGTCTTTTTCCTATTGGATATTGTTTCCAGCTTTATCAAAGATGAATTGACCCTCTACTTGTGGGTTCATTTGTGGGAATTTTATTCTATTCCATTGATCTGTGTGTCTATTTTGGTGGCAGTTCCATACTGTTTGAATCACTACAGCTGGGTAATGCAACTTCAGGTCTAAAAACAGTGATGCCTCCATCTTTGCTTTGCTTTTTCGAGGTCGCTTTGGCTAGTCAGGGTCTTTTGGGGCTCCATACCAGCTTTACGCTGTTTGTTCTAGCTCTGTGACAAATGCCGGCAGTATTTTGCTAGTGATTGCATTAAATGTGTAGATTGCTTTGGGTAGGTTTTACATTTTATCAATATTTCTTCTTCCAATCCAATGGCACGGAATGTCTTTCCATTTCTTTCTGCCGTCTTCAATGCCTTTCATCAGCGTTTTAGAGTTTTCAGAGTAATACAGGTATTTCACCTCTCTGGATAGGTTTGTGTCTAGGTATTTGATTGTTTTCAATGCAGTTGTCAATAGGATGGATCCCTTAATTTCCCATTCTGCTGCTTCACTATTGCCGCATAGAAATGCAAGATATTTCTCTATGTTGATTTTGTATCCTGAGGCTTTATTAAATTCATGTATCAGCTCTAGCAATCTTGTGCTAAACTCCATTTAGGGTTTGAAGAGAGTATCATGTTGACTGCACAGAAGAAACAACAGGTGTTGGTAAGGGTGTGGAGAAAGTGAAAGACCCTTGCATTCTCGGTGGGAATGCAAACTGGTGTGGTTACTCTGGAAAACACTACAGAGGCTCCTCAAAAGGTTAAAAATACAACTACGCTATTATCCAGCAATTGTATTCCTAGGTATTTACCCAAAGAATACTAAAATACCAATTCAAAGAGATATATGTTTCTTACAGCATTATTTGCAATACCCAATCAATGGCAACAGCCCAACTGTCCTTTGATTGATGAATGCATAACGGCGATGTAGGATCTATATACAATGCAATATTACGCAACCGTAAAGCCTAATCAAACCTTGGCATTTGGAATTACATGGATGTAGCTACAGATTGTATGCTAGGCAAAAGAAGTCAGTCAGAGAAAGACAAATATATGAGTTTACCCCTCTGTGTAAGTTTAGAAACAAAACAAATGATCATGGGGGGCGGGGAATGAGGCAAACCTGGAAACAGACTTGTAACTGTAGAGAACAAACTGATGGTTACGAGAGGGGAGGCGGGTTAGCGGATGGATTAAATAGCCGATGGAGATTAAGGAGTGCTTGTGGTGATGAGCACTGGTTGATGTACGGAAGGGTTGAATCACTATATTTTTCGCCTGCAAGTAATATTTCATGGCATGTTAACTATGTGGAATTTAGAAAGTTATAAACGTAAACTCAAATTAATAACTAATAAAATGACAAAAAAAAATAAAGGTAGGGACAGACAAGCAACAAATGCCTAGTTCCCTCTACATACACCTCTATCACCCTAACAATCCAGAAGCTTGGCTCTCATACCCTTATTACTGTACACAATACAAGAGTTCCATCTCTGAGCCCCCATTTGCATCCTCACACCCAAAACTATTTCTGAAACACAGTGCTGTACTTAGAATTCACCATCCTTAGGGAGTGGCAGTAGGTTACAAGCAGCAAGTGTCTACTCACTTCAAAATATTTCTTGGTGAGGTTGTGTATGCCTGGGTGGCCCAGTTGATTAAGCGTCTGGCTCTTGGTTTCAGCTCTGGTCATGATCTCATAGTTCATGAGATTCAGCCCCACGTTGGGCTCTGTACTGATAGCGTGCAGCCTGCATAGGATTCTCTCTGTCTCTCTCTGTCTCTCTCTCAAAATAAATAGACATTAAAGTATATTTCTGGTAAAAAGAATTGAATGTCTAAGGTTCAAATTGAAAGTGAGACTAAAGGTAGGCTGTTCTGCTTTGCCACAAAATATGTGCAAGTTCTCTAGGTTGTGGAGCTAGATGATATAGTAGGGTTCAAGTAAGGAAAGGA